ATGACCTTCACAAGTTAAGAGAAGTGATTGGGTGGCAGGGAGAGGAGAATGCTGTCATTCCTTAAATGGCCAAGTTGTTCTGTATGTAAATTAAGTACAAGGATGGTAAATCACTGGTTAAGCAATAGTTCTGCAGGAAAAAATCCTGGGAGTATTGTGGGTCACAAGCTAACATGGGTTAACATGTCGTGTTGTAAAGTGAGACATGATTTTCATACATATGAAGAGGTGCATGGGCTGAAAGAGCTCTACTCTTGAAAAGAAAGATACTCTCTAGCATGAGCTGAAGTCCTGTGTCAGTAAAACTGAAGAGAGAGGGGAGCCACTGGACATATCCAGAGGAAACCAAGCAAGAATGATAGTGGGAAAACCAATGTATCATGAAGTATCATGAACATGACGGCAACAACACGTCTTTAGTTGTACTTCTTTGACTGTTTTCGCCACCATTCACAGTTTTGCAGTGTCCCAACAGAGGTCATGACTGTCACCATACGCAGTTCTTCAGGTGTGGTCGTGTTATGTGATTTCTGTAACAGTACTGCAGAATTCTGCATCATCCTCCTCCTACTGTTTATGAAACATAATATATGATTTGATTGGAATTTTGAGTAAATGTGCACAGTGAACAACAGTCATCTTAGGGGTCTCTGTTTTCTGATTCCATCCTTTGCATTAATTTAGAAGCTTGTAAGGGAAACGAATATTTTAATTTTTTTTTTCCCGCATGTTTGTTACTTACGATTTCTTGAATTTTAATTTCATTTGCTAGTGCGTTGATTTTTTCTCTCTCCCCTTTTGTTCTCTCTCACATTTCTCACTGCCTGGTCCTCACAAACTGACTAGCATTGTGTCCTGTGCAAATGTCAATAAACTACTTATCCATTGACCAGATCATTAAGAAATGTTACCCATTATTTTAATATGAAGCTGGACTAGAATCTTTGGCCAGGATTCATCCCACCTCAGTTTAGGCACTTAATTCAAGTTAAGGTCTAAAGGCCTTATCACTGAAAAGATACTGAGTTGTCTTGAGAAGTGATTTAATCCACTCCAGAAATTATCAAATCACCAGGTGTGTTCAATGATTATTTAAAGATTTTAGTCATAGTCACTGCTTTTTTTGTATTTGTGATGAACCTAGACCTTATTCCTTGCTGTGATGAAAACCAGCTAATCTAATCTAATCCTAATCTTTTTTTCTTTGCTCTCAGACTATTTCTTAACAGATTACAACCTTTCATTTTACAGCTGTTTAGTTTCAACCAAAGTTTATTGTGTGAAATATAACAGAGTTTTTAGGCAATTAGTAACTTTTGTCATCTGTTGTGTTTATTGAAATGTTCAAGAAATTATAGATCAGTAAAATACTATTTTCCTTTGTAAAATCAGTAGTGATTAGACAGTATTTTCTACTCCCCAAGCCACAGGACAGGGTGATTCTTACATAGCAGGATAGTTATAAACTCATCAGTTCTGCATTTGAGGTTCTTTAAAACTCTTAAATGTACCTTCTAGCCCTGATATATTCTGTATTCTCCACTGTTGCTGCTTCTTGATACATCACTACTCAAGGAGAAATTATTGCCAGAAAAAGAATATAGAGAGCAGAAACCTCCTGAATGTATTGAACAAGAAAGTTGGATGCAAAAAAAGGAAAGTCATTTAGCTTCCAGTGTAATTATCTTCTTTAGCTACTCCCTTAGCCTGTACAAATTCTGTTGTAGGCCTCTTGTTTCTGATATACCTAAGGAATATTTTATTGTTTATTTTTAAATCTTTTAGTGTTTGTTCTTGGAAACCTACTTTTGCTCTTTGCAATTTCCTCTTACTTAACGCCTGCTGAAGTTTAAGTTCCTGTTTATTGGCTTCCGTAGGATCATGTTTCCAAAATTTGAAGGATTTCTATTTGGTTGAAATAGACTCTTGAACCTTGCCATTCATCCGGTTTAGCTTAATCCTGCCTTCCTGGTTCCCTTTCTTGCACAGTACACAAGTCTTCAGAGACGGTTCCTTTTAAAGTACTCTCATTATTGCCTTTGCCGTCTTACAGTTTTACTTTTAGGATCTTTACGACTAATCTAAGTTTACTGAATTCGACTTCATTTCCTATTTTTTACTGCAAAAAACACACAAGCAACTCAGAAATATGAACAGAACCCACCAAGAACAAGAGGTAGGACAGAGAAACCAGTAAGATGGGAGAAGAGGAGCAGAGATATACTTACTGTTCCCACTTTTGCTGTATGACTGAACTGGCGGTGGAGAGCTGCCTGCAGAACCCCAATAATGTTGAATGAACCAGTATGTGTCAGATTCTGCACTGGTGGCCACCAGTATTTTCATTCTTGCCTATCATCTGGTGATGATGCTGCAAGGTAATGGCCAAAGTTCTGACTTCAGGTAGGCTATCCATCATGTCCACTAACAAGAACCTTATTCTGGACTGGAAAATAGGAGGCCTGACATGCTAAAATCCTCATATAATGGGTTGGGTGCAAGTGCTGTTGCCACAGATACCCTGCAAAGTCCAGGCTCTTGCACTTGGTGCTTTGTGAAATCTTGTCAATCCATAGTAAGCCATATCCATCACCCAAAGGACCAGCACCTAGGGTAGCAAGGGCTGCTCTCCATGTTCTGGCCTCCTTCTGACACAGAGCAGTGCTTTTGACAGGCAGATGGCTTTATTTATAGGCAGGAGTCATTAAAGTCGTATTTGTCACATCAGAAACAGGAATCGATCTGAAATTAAATACCTATGGAATTCCTCATTGCCTTTCATACCTTTCATTTAAGGTTTTCCTAGATGATTTTTGAAGGTGCATTCTAAGATGTGTGTCTGTCTAAAAAAAAAAAAAAGGGTGTATGACGCATCAGTGTTTGGAGCTGAATTGAGAAAAAGAAGACCAATGTCAGGGTATACACTTAATGCTGTGGATAGAAAAACTTTTGCCAGCTGCAGCACAGGATTAGGTGACCAGGTTGCTAGACACAAAACTGCACGGAGGTGCCTTTGCCCAATAGAGTCATATCTGCAGCCCTTTCGTCTTGTCTGGGAAAGGAAGAAATTGCGCTAGCTGCGTTCAACATTCAGTTGAAAGAGACAGAGCTCTGCAGGCGTATAGCTGAACTGCATCTTCTGTGGCTGCCTCAGAAGTAGATACTACTTTCCAGGATTTTTTTTTTTTTTCACTGGAGAGCACTGGCTTTGTCTTTTAACATTTGATCTCTGGAGCCATCACTCATCTCTCTGGTGGCGTTCAGTTTCCTTAGAGCACTGCTGGAATTCAACCAGCTCCATGTTTTGGTCACCACCAAAGACCTGTGTGATTGCCATTTCCTCCCCTATCACACGTTGTGGGAATGTATTACTCCTGTTTCAGAGCAGTGTTAGGTCCAACACTGTCATTAACTGTTTGTGCACAGCACTTCATTGGTTCAGACTTAAAAAATTGACTGTCAGAGTCTTTCCACTTTCTCCTGTTTTTCAGGAGAGGATTTTGTATTTTAGAATACTTTCAGTCGTTCTAGGACCTGGAAAGTGAAATGCTTTAAGGTAGTTTAGCCTTTCAGGGTCTTCCATTGGTTTTGCAAACTGGTGAGAAAGGAGAATAACATTGCCCTTTGTTCCCACATACAGGTTATGAATGTCTCTGTGATCCAACAAGCATAGAGGCTTCAGATTGTGAGGACAGGAGAGGCTTGGTCATCTTGTTAACACAGTAAGCTGACTGGGCAGAAAAAAGGGTAAAGAAGTGCTAATTCTTTGGATAGTGATATCTGCACATTTCTTCAGTACAGACTGATGTCAGAAATGGATAGCTGCTATTAAAATGGGGAAGTCTGAACCCCCTTTCGAGGACTTCTCATTATCTGCAGACACAGTGCAACATTGATGGTCATGTAGCAACTCTTGATTCTGTAGTTGAATACATGACATTTATTCTAGCAGCAAAACTCATAATCTAACAGGTATGTGCTTGTTCAAAGCCAAGTTTTGGACTGTGTGCTGAAATTTCTTGCCAAACTTCTGTAGGTTCTGTTGTATCAGAAGCCAGGCTAGGTGGACACAATGTGATCCTTCTGTGTCAAAATGTTTAAATTTATGATATATTAAGCATCCAGGCAAACTGGCCCACTTTTTAGAAGTGCTTAGTTCCCACTGCTGTCTGACATATATAGGACCTGCCAGAACTCAAGACCTCGTAAAATTAGTCTGCTTTTATTTAGGTGTCCAAACGTTAGTCTCAATCATTTATGTCTCTGAGACAGTATCTCGCAGACCAACTCACAATAAATTGCACTGAGCCATTTTTAATACTTTTGCGTTCCAGAAAGATAAGGCTTAGACATTTGGTGTCCAGGCCTCCCTGGGTAAGTACCGTCAATATTATGCAGGACTGCAGTTTTCAACGATACTTGTATTTGCCTTTTTTTTTTAAGTATTTGTTTATGTTGAATATTTGAATGACTTGCATATTGAAATGTCAATAATTTAATAATCTATTAATTAATAATGCCTTTTACTGTATGCTTTTTATTTAAAAGCCCACTCTTGCAAACACTTCATGGGTGATTTATCATGCTTACCTTTGCCTTTCTAAAAGCATGTAATGAAAGCTAGTCATCAAAGTTCTTTCTCTGGTCAGGAGAGAGAGAGTCGTTGCCATGGGCTGATTTAGAAGTCTGTAAGATAGATGGATACAGTTACGTTCTAAAGGTGTCCTTCTCTTTCCATTGATTATGGAATTAATTAATGAGGGGTGATAATTCAGTCTATATGCCTTTTTAATGTTTTTAATGATTTTTAATAATTCATTCATAATGATTTAATGAAGTGAGATGAATTCTGCCCTTTCTGTCAGTGGGATTCTTTTCAGTGGAATTGGCAAGATGATGACTGCTCCAGTTGCCTTACCTGTTTGCAGGGTTGGGCCCATACTGTTTTTTCTAAAAGGTTTGCTGTGTGCTTACATTATTGCATGTTTCTTTTTCTGCAGCCAACATCTTGTATATGGCAAGCCAAGAAATGATGAAGGTTGTGGAGAGAGACAGTACAACCATAAAGCAAAATTTGAAGAAGGTAACTATTTATTCCTCAGAGTTGTCATGGGAAGTTCACGTGCATGAGGAAACGTTACATCCCATTATATTTGTGCAAAATCAGAATTTCAGCAGGCTTGATTCTGTTTTTCTGTTAGGGTCATTCTGTTGACTGTGGAGAAGCCGTTAAATGGATCTCTGATCATTAAAATGTCATTGATCCACACCTTTGTAGGTGCAGCATTCACCACTATCAGATGTAGTATCCCATCTGATATGTTTTACTTTGTGGAGGACAAACAATCTATATTCTGGCTAAGCCTGAGATGGGGTTCCCAGCAAAGCCAGTAGTTACGTGGGTTCTGATCAGACAGGCACATGGCCAGCCAGGACATGAGTGCAGGCTGATTGACGAAATCCCCTGACTTTGCTGCTGGACAGGTCAAGCACAGCATCTACCATCTGTGTTGTGTGTTGTCAGTTCACGTCATGGGATTCTGCAGGCTTGATTTTTCCATGGCATCAAAATGTAATAGAGAGGAGTCTGCAAAATTATTATGGCTCCACAGTTTCAGCCATTCCACTGTAGTGTAAGAGAAAGATACAGAAAGTGCATTCCTAGGAGACTGGAGCTACTGCTATACAAGTAAATGAAGTAGTTTTGGGAACGTTTCTCCTGCACTGAACTTTCTTGTCAGAGATTTAAACAGATTTATTGTTGAAAGAGATCCTGGTACAGTTTTGGTCTGGACCAATAGCATTATCCCAGTCAATTCCCAGGCACGATTCAGGGGTTGGCACAGGCCAGGAACTCTTCCTCACTGGAATTTTGATGTTGCCACCCTGTTTTGGAGGCTGAGAGAATTTAGTAGTGTGGCCATGGTCAGACAATTCAAGATGGCTTATGAGCCAGAAAACTCACATTTAATAAACTACTATTAACGTAGCCTCTGTGTGAGTAGGTATTCAGTGTAACATATTATTCTACTGTCCTGCCCTTCCTTCCCTCCATTTTTTTGTATCATCTCTGTCTTTATGCTGGAAGTATGATTTCAGCACTTTGCAATGGCAGAGATTTTCCTTGGAGAGTGGAATTTTCTAGGACAGAGGTCCTAGATGTCCGTAAGATTACTTTGTGCCTTGTAAACAGATATGGTACAAAGTTCACTTCGTAAATCAGTCTTCTTTTTTTGGCTGCAAATGAGTTTATTTTTTACTTATCTCATTTGCCTTTTCTGCACTTTGAAAGGTATGTTCAGATGGTTCAGTTCTAGGTTTTTTTAAAGTAACTGAAATAGCATGTGTGAACAAGGAACACTACACTAGGCATGCCTGGGTTTTCATGTTTCTATTGCAGAGCATTCAACGTTCTCCTGCACTTCAGGGGGAATCTCAGTGAAGAAACTAAAGGGCTGATCTTGCAGATTGCAAATAGTCTTAAACAAAACTTTCCATGGCTTGATCCAAAGCCAAATGAATTCAAAATCAAAATGATTTTACTGACTGAATCACCTCTCCAAATGTCAGGGAGGTGCAGGGTCTGCCTGTTCCCTGAGGGAAAGGGAGCTATGAGCCTGAGGGTGACACCAGCACAGGCAGTGACCTCACCAAGCGGGGTCCAGTCCCACAGCACCTGAGCAGGGCAAGGTGGCAGGGTCCATCGACTGTCCCAAGCAAGGCAAAGCGATGTACCGGGTCCAGCATCCCTCCAGAGAATCCAGTCAGGAGCAAAAGGAGATGGGGCCAGAGACAGGACTAGAGGCAAGGGTGCAATATGGGTCCAAAGTCCATCCAGGAGGCATGGCCAAAGACATGACGGAAGGTGAGCAGCAAGGTGGGCATGGTGGTATTAGGTCAACGGTTGGACTTGATGATCTCAGAGGTCTATTCCAACCTTATGGTTCTATGATGCTATGATTAATTCAGGTGACAAGCTATTGACAATGTAGGTCCAATGTCAATCTAGGACACAGGGCCAGGGCCAGGGCCAGGGCTGGAGACAGATATTCCTACAGTGTAGCCTGAGAGGCAGAACTAAAGGTGAAGGACAGAGATGGAGACCCTGGACCCATGGGCAGGGAGCATGGGTTGGGGTCTCAGGCGAGGCCAGTAAGGCCTGTTAGTGCCCTGAAACGGAGGATGAGACTGCAGGTTACCCTGTTAGTCAGGGTACCAAAGTGAAGAGTCTGCAGAAGCAGGTGCATTTGGAAATGTTAATCACAAGCACACATGCTTGAAGTTAAGCATAAAAGCTTCACTGGATGAGGACAATAGTGGTGACACTCAGCTGCAGCTCCAGTGACTTCAGGTGGTCTGCTCAGATGCTTCACATAACAAAAATACTTAGTTCTTGTACTGATTGAAGGCCCGTAGCCAACAGTAAGAGTTTGCAGGTGTCCTAGCCTGCTTCATCTGTGCTTTTGTTGACTCTGTCAATCTAAGCATGGACTTGGCAGGCAGGAGCTTTTTTAAACCTGTGTTAACTTTCTTTTATTGATTCTTCTGTGTCCTCATAGTTTTAAAGTGGCAAACGTACTCAAGAAAACAAAAAGCTGAAGCGAGCTTATAAGCAGTTGGCAAACTGAAGAAAGAGCAGGTCTAAATATAAAGCTAAATGCTTCTCTTTTTTCATCTTCTAGTAATTTCTGGGAATGTAAGAATTAAGGGAAAAATTTTGAATTGGCATTATGTTAAATTTGAAGTGTATTGACAATAAAAATGGGCTTAACTTATAAAGGTTGGAAGTTTATAAAAACAGGAACTATAGTCCAAGTTGCTATAGAACTGGCAAGCTGTCACTTCAAAAAATTTATACTGTTTAGTAGTCCCTGTGATCATATGCTAAAAGCCAATCTTAACACCTGACTTTGCCAGCTGCTGTGGAATAGAAAAGTTATTTCTGGATCTTATTTGCATTCTGTGATCTGAAGAAGAAAGAAGAAGAGACACTAAATTATTCCAATCTTTCCATGCCCAGGTTTAACTATAATTATTACTAGTTAGGGACCAGGAGAACTTTTATCTCCAGACCCTAGATTCTCAGTCTAACAATACTAATGGCTCAGATTTATGTTGAAACAAGGGGAGATGGAATATTGGTTAGATAATTAAATGAAGTATTTCACTTATAATCTTCTAAAGACAGAAATTAAATAGCAGTGGAACTGTATTAGGAGGATGGAGACCTGTCTTCTAACAAAGCAGTATATGATAGAGAATTTCAAATACTGACTCTAAAGCTATTCGTCTGGATCAAGCAGTACATGAATATAAGCTTCTTATTGCAATGGCTCAGGGACTTGTGATAAATCACAAAATCCAGACAAATAAGGTAGGGGATACTGATAGATTCGCTTAGCTTTGATGGTTAATTATCATTAGCTGATTGTGACTAAGCCAGCTGAGCTAGGTTCTTTCACTGTAATAACAATCAACTCGCTTTCCTAACAGAAACTGGAGGCAAAGATACTATTGCATTAGAGGAAGTTTATTGTACTACATGCACAAAAGGAAGTGGGTGTAATTCCCTATTCTTCAAAGATGGATCAGCATTGAGCATCACAGAGCTTTTACAAATAGAATAAAATTTTTAAAAGGAAAGGGAAGATGGTTATCGGACATTCACTACTGTGCCTGTGATGGACAATGGTATTTCCATGTAGAGGCTCTCTACAGCTCTTTTTAAGGCTGCATCATGCCACATTCATTGCTTTATTTTAATACTTAACCTTATTGACTTTTTCTGTCAAGTAAGATTATAAACGTAATTAAGAATGTACTGTATTAGAGGGTAATCTAGGGTGCTTACAGTGGAAATTTTGTTTAAAAAAATCATCCCTTGCATTTTATATTTATTGAGATATATTTTGTTCTTTACTCCATGTGTAATACACAGTGTATTTTTAGGTGTAGGATCTCCAAAGCACATCTAAATCAATAGAGGAGCTCCCACAGACTTCAGGAAGTCTTGAACCAGTTTGGCAGTGAACTTTCTGTAGTGTTCATAATTTCTTCAGACCATAAGTCACCTCCTCCAGCAACTGAAAATCGTTATTCTTTTAGTTAGCATGTTAAACCAAAAAAGGTTTATATGCTCCTTGAGTTTAGTTTTGCCAGGGGCCTGGTGTAGCAGATACAATGATTGTATAAGCAAAAAGACAGGACACATCTGAATTAGAGATACAAAGATGAAAAAAAAAAAAAAATCTGTTGTCCAAGAAGAATCATTTTTAATCAAATGGGAAAAATTATGAACTGGAAGTTTGTGGACACATGAACCTATTTTCACTCAGACTGAGAAACTCTGTATTGTGGGTGGCTTACAACCACCCATATATAGATGGTTAGGTGGGGAAGAAGTTCCCTTTTGAAAAAATTAAATTAACAAAGTACATGTTTACCACTTCATGCTTATTTCAATGGTGTATCTAGAATTTAAAGTAATACAAGTTTGTATCACACCAATAATACCATAGAAAATCTGTTCTCCAAGAGTATCAACTAAGCAGTGATATGCAGAGATTTAAAGTAAAATTGCAAAAATTATTTAATTTCCATGGAAAAATGCAAGTATTTTCTTTTGGAAAAGCATCTTTGCTAGAGGAAAATTTAAAACTGAGCAACCAAGAACTATTTTAACCCCTGAAGCAGCTGTTTTGATGTTGCCCTGTGGTTTTGTTTGACATCCACAGGGGTTTAGTAATGATTCCCAGTGAGAGGTGCATGATCTGAAGGTAAGTGGTTAAAAGAACACTACAAATACTTTGCTTGCCCACAGCCTGAGTGAGTTGCTTGCCTACATTTGTGAAAAACCTTTCAAACACTATTTTCACTCTTTCTGAATAGGTGCAAAGTGCTCTCTTGAGCCAAGAACACCTCTTTTTTGGCTGGTCTCACATCCTTTTTGGCCTGCATTCCCTGGAGGTGTGGAGTTGAAGTTAGGGAAGATGCACATGTGCTTGGGGATTTTGGTGCCTGTGTCATTTAACCACAAGAACAACCTTCTCTGTGAAACACCCAGAATGGCTCATCCGGGATCAG